TTTATTTATTGTGTTTTTTCTTGGTCTACAAAGTCAAACCATAATCAAGAGCTTTCATTTCTTCTTCAGTTTTTAATTAAAAGCAATTCACCAAAAAAATTGTTTTGAATTTTATTCTTCACTTATCCATCCATCCATTCGTCCATCCATCAATCCATCCATTCATCCATCCATCAGTCCATTCATCCATCAATCCATCCATCTGTCCATTCATCCATCAATCCATCCATCTGTCCATTCATTCATCCATCCATCCATCCATCCATCATCTTCCACTTGTTCCGAAGTCTTGTCTCGGGGGCAGCAGCTTGAGCAAGGAGTTCCAGACATCTCTTTCCACAGCCAACTCTTCCAGCTCTTCTGGGAGGACTCCGAGGTGTTCCCAGACCAACTGAGAGACATAGTTTCTCCAGCATGTCCTGGGTCTTCCCCGGGGTCTCCACCCAGTTAGACATCCTCAAAGCACCTCCCTAGGGAGGCGCCCAGGGAGCATCCTTACCAGATGCCCGAACCACCTCAACTGGCTCCTCTCCGTGTGGAGGAGCAGCGGTTCTACTCCGAGTCTCCTGATAACTGAACTTCTCTCACCCTATCTTGGGCCAGCTCCTTCAGGGGAATCCAAAGGTGTTCCAAGTGTTTACTTATGAAGGTAAAACTAGATGTTAAACAACCATTAAAAATACACCAGAATGCAGGAAATGGCGTCTACTTTATTCAAAGTTTTCTGGGGGAGGACCCCACCATCAGTATGCCCCCCCCCCACACACACACATTACAAATGCTTCTGACACCAGTGGCCAACAAACTAAACAAGTACACATATGCTGTCGTGTGGTGTTCAAAGTACATTCAACATAATTCAGTCTTGATTTGTGTCAATGAGCATTTGGAGGTTTTTTTTTTACATAAAAATACACTTAATAGTTAGAATTTTAAGTATATTATGATAATTTATTCTGTATTTTGCCATATTATGGTGATTCTGGGGTCGTGATGATGGGGCCCTTGAAAATTGTTGCCCAGGGTACAGCGGAGTGTTAATCTGGCCCTGACCGTGCTGCCTTGTATGGAAGCCAAAAAGCTAAGCACGTTTGGTAAAACTCGTTGCACGGCAAAGAAAAATATGTTTGTTCAGGAATGAATCAAAGGTTTTCTTGACACCTGAGTACCTGGTCTTACAATTTAAATTGGACAAATGAGACGGTGTAATGTTTTAATTACAGTTGATAAATACTAAACTTTGTACATGGTACCTTAGAGCACTGCAGGAATACTTTGATGTTTGGTCAGTTTCTTGGATTGTATGTTTTAATTTAAACAAGAAACAAACCAACTAGCATTTACTTTGTACCCCTCATAGATCAGTCCTACCTCCATTAAGGTAGGCATTGTTTTTAAAACTCTCAGACAGTAAATAAGAAACTGGCACCTGCAGTGTTTCTCACTTCGCCCAAACATTTCTCTGTCTGTTCCTAAAACATTCCTGCTGTTTTCTTGACTTGTAATGACCCTCTGACATCACTAGAACCACTCTCTGTTGGTTGCTTCAACCAATCAGGAAGTACTAAAAGTGACCGGAAGCAGAACTCTTTAAAAGTCGACACTTCCTGGAACTATTCATGTTCTGGAGTGGAGTTCTGGAGAGTTTTGGAGTCGTCTGAAGTCTTCCTGGAATCCGGTGGAGTTTTTCCACTGCTGAGTGGAACTTCTGACTCAGTTTTCCAGTCTGATGGAGCCATCCATCTCTGCAGGAGTCACCGCGCCTCGTTGTGACTTCACCCGGGCAAACGCCCTACAATTCTGTTGAACGGAGTATCTCACGACTTCTGCCGAGTCGCAGCCGCCCTGAGGAGATGCTGAAAGGTCTGCCAGGGACCTCTTGACCGTAGCGGACCCATCCTCTGCCAAGGTAGAGTCGTCACGAGCTCCACGCACTAAGTGAACCGAGGGCGAGCTGCGTTTGAAAGGAGCGTGCTGTTCTAGTCAACAGACATACATCTTCCTCCATTTTCCCATCTTTAAACTCCTCCATTTTCCACCTTTAATCTAGATATCTTCAGAAATGTCTGTTGTTTTTATTAAGTAAAACGTGCCAAGTTTTATTAATCAGAACCAGATCAGTCTAATCAAGTGTACAATGTTTTATCCTGATGCATGCTCAATAATCCAGGTAGAAAAATCTAAAAAAGTTCAATCTGGTCCTCTGGACATTCAAAAAAACAAAACAAAGCAAAACAACAAAAAAATGTAGAAACGTTTCGTCTCCCATCCGAGAGACTTCCTCAGTCTGAGGTGCTGTATTCAGCTCAGTCTCTTAAATAGCACCTTCTCAGAGTGGATCAACGAGTTTTGCTGCTGACAACCAAAGCCAGCTGATCACATGTTCAAGAAGGACCATCAGCCTAACGATGGATCATTAGCACACTGATGGCTGTTTACTATTCACAGAGGGCTGAGTGATACTAGCAATCACAGCATTGTAAGAGGGGGACAATTGAACACGTAGGCCTCCACCCCTGTTTAACGATGGACTATTTATTTTCACAAAGAGGGCCTCCTTTACTCCTCTCTCAAACCATCGTTCCTCTCTATCCAGGATGTGCACATCTTCATCCCTGAAAGAGTGACCGCTGGCCTGGAGATGAGTGTAGGCCGCAGCGTCCTGGCCTGATGATGTTGATCTTCTGTGCTGGGCCATCCTTTTGGCCAGTGGCTGTTTTGTTTCCCCGATGTAAGACTGACCACAGCCCTCCTGACACTGAACAGCATACACAACATTACTCTGTTTGTGCCGGGGGACTGGATCTTTGGGATGAACCAGTCTTTGCCGTAATGTATTTTGGGGTTTAAAAGCCACTGGGACGTTATGTTTAGAAAATAAACGTCTCAGTTTCTCTGATACTCCCTCAACATACGGAATGACCACTGGTCTGGGTCTGGGTTCCTCCTTTTCACCTGATGGCTGACTGGAGTCCTGTTTGGGTTTCTTCTCTGCTTTCAGGAAGGCCCAGTTAGGATATCCTTATTGCTCTAGAGCCTGTTTTGTGTAGGATTTCTCCTTCTGCCTGGCTCCCGAGTTAGTGGGGACGCTGTCTGCTCTGTGATACAGAGTCCTGATGACTCCTAACTTGTGCTCCAATGGGTGATGGGAGTCAAACTGCAAATACTGGTCTGTGTGGGTGG